CCCTGGATAGATGCTCTGCTCAGGACACAGCAGCTTTTCATGTCCACAGAGTTCCCCCAAAGCACACAGATGCCTCCTGCCCTCCAGCACTGCTCCCGAGGTCCAGCTCTGCCCCATGGCTCTGTCTTATCTGCTGTTTCCAGATGCTCCTGACACAGCCTAAAGGGCAGAGAGGACCAGCAGTAATGCCAGGGAGAGCTGAGGAAGGTCAAAACAGGACAGGACAAATTGTATCCATTCAGACGTGCCAAACCCCAATTTTGTCCTCAATTAAACGTCTAAACATCTACATCATTAAGAATCTTGATTTGGGGGGGGGAAATGTATTCCCTCTCCTTTTTCCTCCTGCTGGCAACTGCAATAATAACATTTCCTCCACAACATCTTTTCACTACCACCTTTTTTTCTTTTCTACCTTTTTTTTTTTACTATGTCTGAGCTTTCCCAGTGTGAAATGTTTTCAGAAATGTCAAGACAGACAAACATCCACAAAACAATAAAAAATATGAGATAGGAAAAATAACAGCTAGACTTTGTTGAGCCTCTTAGACTAAGTAGCACAAGAAAAGGAGGAGAAAAACAGCCAACTTAAAATTCTGAAATATCTACATATTACCTTCCTTAAAAAATAAGTCTTAAGTTTTTCTTTGAAAAAATACTTCTGAATACATGGAGATGGGTATCTTCTGAAAGATAAGTCAGGTTTCCACGAAGCCTCATTTTTCAGTAGGAAATATTTCACTGGGGAGGAAAAAAAGCCAGCTCATTATAATGAAAGTTTAGTCATCACCATCACATGATCAGTGATTAAGAGCAGCATGATGCCAGGTAGACTGCTTCCTCACTAAGTTAGGGTAGAGGGGAGCTTCAGGAGGCCTTGGGTAATGGGAGAAGATACAGGACAGTGCATATTGTAACAGCCAAGACAGTTATTCTCCAGTACTGCTGAAACGGTCATGAGCTTCTCACCCTCCCACAAGGAAGAAGAGAGTAGCGCCCACATGAAGCCCACATGGAGTCTATGCCTTTTGCATCACTGGGAATAAGAGACAGCAAAATAATCTGATCCAGCCCGCTTTCAAAGAAATGACTCAGCCATTCAAATGCACTAAAATATTCAACATCGTTTATGTGTTGAAGTACTTGAAAATAAAAAGTTTTCTTCAGGAGGATTAGAAAGCGTGAGCTCAAAAACAAAGTCAATCCTTCTACGAAGCTCCTCATTGGCACCTCCTGAGACATTTAATCCCGGTCTGTGCCAAGAATTTCCTTCAGATGGGAGGTCACTGGACAGGCCTCTCTCTTGGTTGCTATGTTCAAGGTGGTGTGACAGAGGGTTGGAACAGAAGGCTGGGAAGGTCTGCTGGTTCAAATGCATCTCCTCTACTAGCAGTGAGACCAAGGGGATTTCCTCTCGACAGCCAAACTGCCTTTTCTCCCCCAGAGACAAAGTACAAAGCTACACTGCACTGCAGCTGCCCATATCCAGAGGGAAATCGCCTCTCCATACCCAAATCTTCCCGAGCAGCACACAGCAGTGAGCCCAGGCTGGGTCCTGAGTACGGCTCTCCCTACATCCCCCCCTCAGGGAGCACTCACATCCTCAGACTGCACTTCACAAGCCAAAATCTGCAAATACATGGCGCTCTCTAGTGTTTTTACTCTGCTCGGGAGAAACACATCCCAAGGCACTGACATCATCCCAGAGAGCATGGCACAAACATCCAGGCAGAGGGATGCCCAAGGACTGCTGTTCATTCGGACCAATTTGCCAGTGTATCTGTTGGACTGAACCTTCCAGGGGATGCTGTTCCAGCTGTCTGGCTGTGGGCCCCACCAGCAGTGCAACACCTCCAGGGCAGTCCTTTAAACAAAACCAGGTTTTAAGCCACATTCCTGATGGACAGAACTATTTCAGGGAAGTTTCTGATCCAGGACTAAGTCCCTGCAGACCCTAAGTGTGATCCTGTCAGCTCCCAAACTGGCCATCAGCAATGGGGTGTAGGTTTCAGATGCAAGCTCAGAGGAGAAATCCACAGGGAGGAGCTGTCCCAGAGATGGCTCAAGAGAGGGCTGTGGCTACAGCACAAGTGGGACCAGGGCGGGCACAGGGCAGGCTGAAGGCTCCTCTGGGACCTGCTGGTACCACTTCCCATGTAGAACAGCTTAACTCCCACCAAACAGCACAGACAGGAGCAGCCTCCACAGAAATACTAGTCCTTCCCATCATTGCTTCACTGGGAGAGGAGATGAGGACAGACCACATTTCTAGCTGATGAAGGCAAGCATAATCCCAAAATGCAATTGCTTTGATTTGCTCCTAAATGGCTTGCTGGTCCATTTATTACAGATTCTCTACTCTGATACCATGCCTCTCTTTCTCCTGTGCTTCTCTGAGGCTGACAATTGATGACAGAAATACAGCACATCCCACAGAGTCACAGCCTCAGGTCCAATTGTGTTTGCCAAGTGACAAGATCGATGTGGCAATCTGCTGCAAAACATATGAGATTCCATCTTCTCTCCCTCTTTTTCTCTCTCTCCCTGTTAATACGCATTTCAAATTAAATCAGCATCTCAAGGAGGAGGCTCCCCTAGAGCCTAGGAGAACATATTTTCTTGGAGCTCACAACACTGGCTGGTGATGGGGAAATACTTCAGCACCGTGTAATTGATTTGATGTATTCCATGTTTCAGCAGGATAAACACCACCCCCTGGACTCCCGGCATTCCAGCTTCTCCAGCCTAAGCTCCTTGTTACGGCGTGTTGGGAGTCCATCAAAGACACTGAGTAGTTTTGACACAGAGATAAATGCTCTTATCTTCACCTTCCAACGTTGCTGCTTTTGAAAAAGCACTCCTGACAGTTTTCACTGTTCAAGCTGCTCTTCAGCGAGGGACAGGAAATGGGGGGAAACCTCTTTAACCCACCTTATTTCAGTACTGGGAGAATAAGCCGGGCTTGTCATCAAACCAGATGACTTTCACTGGGACAAACCACCACAATTCACAGGGAATAAATTAAGGCCCAATCCAGGCAACACATTTAGGCACCTGAATAAACACACATCTTAAGCTTATTTGTTGCTTTATGGGCTTCGCAGGTCCCAGACAGACATGCATGTCCAGAACCTCGAATACAACTGCAACACACCAGCAAAACTATGCATTCAAACTGTACTGTGCTGCCAAGAAACCTTCTTACTTTACAGCAGGCAAATGCTAAAACATAAATTTTAAAGTATCTTTAGGAGACTGGTGAAAGAACCGGAAGAAAACTTGGTTCTTCAGGTCCATCACCTCTTGCTGTAAAACACTGTTCCTCAGCTCAGCCTGTAATCCCAGAATATGAAAGTGAAAATCCTGCTTTGTGCTTTCTTTTTCCTTTTTCTGGGAGGCTGACTACAGACCATGAAGCTGATCATTAAGCCATGATTCAGCTGGAGCCCAGGAAAAGCCCCACTGATTTGAATGGATTTAGGATTTCGCTCTCTGCTTCTCTATACAGGGATTAAATAAATATTCTCCTGCTAGAAAAGTGCCACACATGTCTGCCTGACTTCAATGGGATCTTTAAAGTAAAGATACAGAAAAGTTGCAGTAATTTCCAGTGGCGTGACAAAGGGTAAGTTTTAGGGCCAGAACAGTATTTCAGGCTCTGTAAATCCAGTTTATCTGTCTTTAATACATGGAATGGATTTTGACAGGAAAAATGAAAAAGATATAAAAAAGAAAAAACCCAGGACAATAAATTGCCAGAAGAAATAACAAAAAATGCCTGAAGTATATCAGGAGAGAGATGTCTAGAGAAACAGCAGGTCTCTGATGGACCCAGCAAGCAGAGGAAGTAATCAAATAGGGAGGTCGTAACCAAGCCAAACAATGTCTTTGCAATCAGTATTCACACTGGAGTATGACTGGGGTTAGAAAAAGGCAGGAAAAAATAGCTATTATGGAGGTTGCTGTCTATGCTGAGATATTACACAATATGCAGGAATAAAATAGTTGGACCAGCACTGGGGAAAAAAACCCAACAAGAAACACTGTGGAATTGAATCAGTTAGACTGACAGCAGCTTTCTAAATGCACTAACCAACAAAGTAACTGAGCTCCTGACAAGAACACTGAATTCATCTTCAAACAGCTATTACTGCAGAGGGACCCAAATTATATCCACCCTTTAGAAGGCCAAGATCATTGTGGGATGAGCCTTACAGTTCTAAAATGCCCAAGTGAGAAAAGTCATGTAGTTTGAAATGAAAACCCCTCAGGCCAAATGCAGCTGCAATTTTTTTTTTTTAAATCAGTGAAGTTACTCTGAATTTTTAGTGGAAGAATTCAGTTTTGATACTGGCCAGAGCACTCTGTAAAAGTCTTTGAACTCTGGCAATAAAACATTCTGGCAATGAAATATTCAGCTGCACAAATCAACAAGCCTACATCTATATCCAGTTCCTAGAGTGGTAAGAGTGGAGAGTTGCAGGGCTGTATAAAACAAACAATATTCTTGAATAATTTCTGCTAAAATTATCAGACAGGAGATAAACTCTGTTTTATTGGACTGAGTTGAAGAGCCACCTAGACACTGTTTACACTTATATTTCAGGATGAGGTTGTCAACTCATCCCCTCTTTACCACACAGAATGCTAATCACAAAACAATCCTGTGTGTGGAAGTCAGTATTCTTCTTGTCCTGCACACTAACCACTAAACTATATCACTAAAACAAGAGTGAACACCCTTTGGATCCACTGAGTATACACTGACTATTAGTGTCTGAAGTGATGAAGAACAGACAGAAATGGTAACCAAAACTGGTGACCAAAGGCTCATTCCAGCTCCAGCTGTATAAATTACAATATCTTACTGAGGAAGCTCAGCAATATACTCAAAAAACAAACTGAGAATCATGTTGCAGATAACAGTTGAAAGAAACTAGCCAAATACCTGGCTCCCACCAACCAAACTTCTCTTGTTCTCAGCATGATCAGAAATTTACCTTAGAATGAACAGTTGCTCCTACTTTGGCTGTATGACAGGTACATGATAAGGCAGCTCCTGAAAGATACCTGGAAAAAAAGACAAGACATAGATATCTTACAGATGTTATATATGTATCAATCTTGAGGTTTAGAGACATCCTAATATGTCAGAAACTCTCAACTCTACATACTATTTGAGAAACTGTATTTCTATCAGTTTAATAGCTGCAGAGACATTTCAGAAGGTGGAGGTGCCCTGAAAAGCCAGCTCCTTTTAATGCATCTCTACTTGGGAGCTCCAAAGCATTTGGATCACTTGGCAATATTTGCCTGTGCAATGAAGTATTGCAGTTTCCAGAAACCAGTGCATGAAATTAATCAGACCAAATATCAGCCAACACTTACAAATCAAATAGTACTTAAATTTGATGAAAGTTCTGACTGCAAATTCAGATGTAGTTAAAAAGAATTTTTAAATTACAATTTCTCTGAAGTATCCGAGACCAGAAAGACACTTGCACGTAGGTAAAAAGGAACAAGGGTGGGGGACAAAACCCAAGTAAAGAAATCTGATGAAAAATGCTACTTCAACTGAAGTCTACATCGTGACATTTTATTAATGTCAAAGTGAGACAAGCTGAGGCTCAAAGGGAGCAGGCTGAAGCCTTTGCTGCCACCCAGACTCTTGTGATCATTATCCTTTCTGCAGTATTCCTACATGAAAAGTATTTCTCAGCCTAGACTCAGTAAAGCTCTTAAGCACATGCTGGACCCAGTTAAATCAAGACTGGACAAGAAACAAGCTCTCATTCCATTAGGTGTTACAAAGTTCACTGCAGAAGTGCCTAGTGAAGTTACACGGCTTGTTTCATGTGAAAGGTTAAAGCCCTTACTAACCCAAAAGAACCCAAACCATATCTTTAATCCACTGCAGCTGAGTGCCCAGTGCTGTCAGGACCCTGACTGCACACAGGACTGAAAATAGGGCTACAGTAGTTGTCTACTCTTAGAGAAAACAATCCAGCCCCAAGATTTTTACCCATCGTACTGAATACTGTAGCTGATGAGCTTTTTCTCCCAAGCAATGTGGCTTTCTGAAGCTCAGTTTAACTTGGCACTTGTCCTTCTCTCTGCTTTGAAAGCCGCACAGAAAAAAAAAGTGCCCCAAGATATTTACCAGTAGAAGTTCACTGTTGCATAGTAAAGGAATATTGAGATCAGAACGGAAATAACAGAAGGACAGGGGGTTTTTTTCTATTGACTCCACCTCTGCCAGACTGAGATTTTGGGACATAATGGCTGGAATAAAGTGCTGTCAGTCCAGGCTCTGAGGCCAGCATACTCTCTCCCAGAGGTGCAGAACACATCCCTGGGCACAAGGCAGTTTTTAGGCAGCTTTTTGTACCTCTAACCTATGGCTGCCAGATCCCAGGCTCCGATGCCCGTGCAAGCCAGGGAAATCCGTCAGATCTTCTACATGATATCTGTTGCCAACAGATGCTCCTGCAAGCAAGGGTCAGCAGGATTCAGGAATAACTCAACACATCACCTTCTGCCAGGACAGATTGACAAGAAGGGACCCTCTAGCAAATTTTTTCAGTGGCTCTTAAATTAGGATTCCTTGAGGCAAAGCTGAATGTCACACGGGAAGTGCCAACAGCTTTAAGACTAACTTGCAAACTCAAGCAGCTAAGCCAGATGTGACGTTAAAGGCTCTCCACGTCTGACAAGTGAAACCTTATTATGAACAGTCCTCTTTATGAGGACTGCTTGAATCCACCTCCAGGGTTCCTTGGTCTCACAGCTTTGTAGAAAAAAAAATCATCTCTTTTATACTATAAAAAGCTCAAAAATCCTCCTTCAGCACTGAAGCAAATACTGACTTACATTCATGCTGTCTCAAATAGGTGTTTGCCTTCTTATAAACAAATTCACCTGCAGTGACTATAAAGCAGTAACAAGTCTCCTAGGGAATGTTATATATGCACATGATACACGTCAGTGTGTGTTTTAGCAAAGTGATGTAGATTTTGGAGATTAGAGGACAATAAAATGAAGAAAAATAACTCCTCATCTAATTCTCCAAAGGAAAAGACCACTAGGAAAAATATGTGGATAGACTCCAGCTTTACAGGAATTTCTTTTCATTCTGCATTTGGCATCAAGTGCTTTCTGATTTCTTTACTCAGGCATATTTTCCCTCAGGGAAAATACATTACAGTTAGAACACTGCCCATGATTTCATAATACGTATTTATGAAGTTAATCATACTTGCGTCTCTCAAGGCATCTGTTGCTCTGGTTTGGTAAATTCCCAATTATCCCTGCAGGACAGCAATATCAATCCTGAGCCCTAGTACAGTGGGTTGCCATGTTTCATATTCAGGGAAAGAATATGTTCTTCAGGCATGATCAACAAGGGCTGTCTGGTACCACAGTGGGCAATTTGCAGCATACAGCAGAACTCTTCCTGTGTATTCATCTCCTAATTTTTTCCCCATCTCTGCCTGTTAGATTTCCTGTCAAGGAAAGCAGGGGAGACTTTCTGTGATAAATATCTAGCATAAACAGACATGGACCACTTCAGCTGGATTTGTTTTACTTACAGAAGAGCGCATAAGGGAACATAGAATACAGAATAAAAGGGAGCTGCTGGACAAAACAGCAGTTAAGTAGCTGCATGTGCATGGTGGGCAGATTAAGAAGTAAAGGAATAACTGAAAAAACTGGCTTAGGCTAGATATTAGGCCTGCATTTCAAAATGACACAGCAGAGCACCAGGAGAGGTTTTCCCCAAGGCAGGCTGAATGCAGGACTTTAGGGAAGTCACAGATGAGGCAGGTAACATCAGACTAGACCTAGTGGATATTCCTGAATTTTTAAAACCGAAACCAACTAGATTAATAGAAATCATCTAGTCACTTATAAGTTGGACTTGATGATCCTTGTGTGTCCCTTCCAACTCAGAATATTATGTGAAAATGTAGAAATTGGTCCACCTTCTGTTTTAATTACTTCTTACTGACTATTATGGCAAAGTACATAATTTGTCACACCGTAACACAAAGCTGCAGCACCTCAGCACAGGTCTTCCCTCTCCACTAAACTGCTGCAACTCAGTAATGCTACAGAGGCAAAAATGTGACCCAAGCTGAGCTAATTCAAATTAAAGAAGGAAGAAAGCACAGTGCAGCAGCACCTTCACAGCAGAATCCAGTTTTTCCCACAGGTACATCTGTTTGTCCTTCAAACATGTAAAAGCACAATCCACGTTTGCCTCTTGCTGTCAATGCTGCAGTTTAGAAACAACACTTTGCCTGCACAGCCAACTCAGGGCATTTCTAATTAGAGCTGCTGCACCAGCATTGTGTGTTTTAAAATACTGTTGTAATAAATCCTGCAGCTGCAAATTCAATATTTCATAAGGGCAGGCGTGACCTCATAGACAGAGTCTGAGGGGAAAATTGGCTCTTAATTGAGTCCTGTAATAAAGCATTTCAGGGAGAGAGAGGACAAGCAAGCAAGCTGGATTTGATCCCTTCAGTCTGGTCTCCTCCACCATGAATGAAAACAATGCAGCAAGCAGGAAAGGAATTCCTTGATTTTAAGAACATCATTATAGTAAGAATCCCCTTGGACTTTCTCCAGTCTTAAGCACCACTTTATAGATTCTGGTTACACAAGAAACCCTATCTTCAAATGGCAAATAGAAATTTTACATTTCAAAGATAGCAGACTGGGGAGTTCAAAATGATCATTCATACTACAACAGTAACTAGAGCTGAGACTAAGGTACAATGGCGTGAGTAAGCAACATGTACCCACAAATAAGAAGGCCCTGCCTTAAACAACTGAAAACATAATAAAAAAAGAATTAAGCACTCTTTGGAACTTCAGGGAGTCACTACACTCTTTCTTCTTACTGCTTGATGAGAACTTGAGCGAAGTTTGCTTTGTTGGAAACATGGCAAAACGGATTATGGAATAAAAATAAATACAGAGCCAAATCCACATCCCAACAGAGAGATATTGTGGGTTGCAGTGGTGTTGCACTAACATCCCCAAAAGCATAACTCACGATGTCAGAAGCTAAAGGTCCTGAACCAGAACTCTGCTGCTATGCCTTTATCTTAGGCAGTGAGACTTGTGGGATTTCCAGTCATTCTCGCAATTCTCTGCTCTCACAGGGATGAAATGTTGGCCTGGACGTGAAGAACAGACAAAGGAAACACGGTGATGCTGACCCGAGAACATACCTTTACATTCATATTTACCTTTACATTCAGCAAAGCTTCTAAGCAGAGGGAGAGGTTGTTCTTACTTAGAAATCCAAATTTAGACACCCAAATGCATATCAAAGAATCCAAATATCCTACCTCAATTTAGGGCGCTGCTGCCACTCCCATTTAAGTTCCACAGAAGTTGTCACACACTCACACTTTTGAAATTAGGCACTTACGTAACTGTCCAAACAGGAATTTAAAAACTAAAAATAAAAACTTTAATCCTGAGATCAGTTTCTTCAATAAATAACAGTCCTCTCTGCCTCGTGGCTTTTTTTCCTAAAGGGTCAAATTCCTAATGTTTTCCTCCATCACTCACTCAGGGTTTGGGCTTGAGCTAATTGCAAAGGATACACAAAACAGCTCTTACAGGGACCTGTCATCAGTATGTAATAGCAAAATAAATCCTGCCTTTGCCTGGGTTTATGATCCCGCTGACACGTCACCTTAGAGATGAATTTTGAAATACTATGCCATCTTTGGATTCTGCAATAAAAAGAGAAAGCACTGGAACTGCCAGACTCCACATCTCAGGAAGCCTTTTGCAAGGGTTATACAGACTGCAGGTAAAGTATCTGGTGTGATATCCAGGGAACACAAACAGCCCTATCATCTGGAGGAGTTCAGATCCACAAAACAACCTCTGGGAGAGCTTAGATCTCTGTCAAGTGTCAAGTTTTCAAACGTCTGTGCACCTTGATTTAGCAGAACAACTGGACTCCATCAGTAATGGGTAGAGAAGGACAGACACATTCAGCAGGAACATTACTCCTTCCCATGAAAAGCCTTCTGGGGGAAAACATCATAGAGGTGAAGCCTCTCTAATTAGTTTGGATTGTACTTCAGATATTTAGACAGCTAAAATTACTGCATGAAAGATCAGCTCGCAAAGATGAGACCAAAGCTGAAGCCACCAGATCCTCTGCCATAAAGATTCTCCCACACACACTTCCTCTGAGGTCTGGAAAGTGACTCCAGAACCAAAGCAGGATCCTCAGTGCATATTTCTGCACACAAAGAACAGTGCAGCCATTCCAGCCCCACACCACGCAAAACACTGTTTGCTGAGTATTTCTGAGAGCCCCCACCATGGTACCACTGCACACCTACCAAAAGAGAAAGTCTTAAGTCTGAGTGAGTCTCAGGTCCTGCCAGGACTTGCAGGTGTGACAAGGTCCTTAAACAAATGAAAAACATCACTTTGCTGACAAAACCAAAAACAAAGGTACCCAGCCTGTTTACAGTGTTAAACCATTACATTCACTGGCTATTACAAAGTCATCTTTTGAAAGGTGGGGCCTCTTTGCACTATCCAGGCCCTTCAAGGGCCCATCAAGGATCTTTACAGAAGTGAGAACCTGGCTCAAAATCCATCCATTTTCAGCAACCTTCTCATGTACCACAAAAATCTTGAATACTTTGGCAACACAGACAGTAAAACTTAATGACCATGTGAGCGTTGAGACTTTCCCAACATGCTTGACAAAACTACAAATCAACAAAATAAAACAAGCTAGGGAGTGGCTCTAACTAAAGGCCAACTACAGCAAGAAGAAATTCAATCCACATGAGCAAATAACAGCCCTTTCTTCCCCCCCCGCCACCTTTATGCTTAAGACTTGAATAGCCAAGATATATTTAATGCATGGAATCACTGCAGGGATATGTACTTGATGATAATAAGTCTCACCAGCAACAATAACTGTTTAGCAGACCCAAATAGCCCACAGGTGTGAAACGAACATCTGGGACTTGTACACAACTGACACAGAGAAGAGACAGCCCTGGGATATCACAAGCCATAAGCACAGCTGTGAAATTACTCTGCAGACACTGACACAGCTCATAACTTGATCCTTTCAATCACACTTATTGAAAGAGTCTTGGTGGCATTTATAATTCGATAAAACTCCCAATTATAATTCGACAAAACTCCCAATCTGTCACTTCATTCTGAGGACATGAGGAGTAAGAAAGCCTGTACTGTGCTTGCCTCCACACACCTTGGCTCAGCAGCACTTTTCATATGTTTTACAGCATTTCTGTTAAAACAGCAGGCAGGTAGAAGGGAACAAGTGAGGAGGAGAGTGATTTCTGTTGCTCACACACACAAGGGACAGCAGCACAGGCATGCCAGGGAAAATAGCTTTTGTAAGATTCCACACCAACACATTCAGAAATATAGCAGTTGTGATTCAGGTGCAAAGGTAAACCACTGGTACCATTTAAATGAACTCTGCATTTCTAAAATGCCAACTGAAAAAAACCTGCTGATATTTAATTTCCATAGATATACTGCATCTGGTGTTTATGGCTTTGTGTTGTTGCCAGAGAGCCCCAGGAGCTTTGCTCTGGGAGCCAGGCCAGTGTCTACCAACTTAGTTGGGATAACACAAAGATCCAATATTTCTCTGATTTAAAGCTCTCAGGCAGATTTTTCAGAGACTTGTGTTTTATTTATAGCTAGCATGTGTGAAGAGAAATAAAAGTCATTTAATATGCTATGCCATTATGAGCCTATTCCTTCCAGTTTCACATTTCACTATCTTATTTTGAAGCACAGAGAATTGAAAATCTGGTTATTTCTACTTAAACATCCATATGTGGAGAGACACAAATTCAGTAATGGAATGCCTTTCCACTAAGAAAGGAAAAGACCAAATGGAGTTTCCTCACAAAAGCTGGACATGTAACACTATCTACACAGATGGTCATCATCACTGTTACAGTCACATAACAGTTAAGTGCTTTTCCTTCTCCCACTCCTTATGGCACAGATTTACATCCTTCTGTTACAGAAAGCTCTGACCTGCCAGTGGAGATGCCCCAGCATTCTGATCCTTGAAGTTTTAAGGCTTTCTTCTGCTTGAAACTGGAGTAGGTGCTCTCCAATACTTCCTACAGAAAATCAAAAGAATTCTATTCATTAAATTGCCAAAAAAAAAAAAAAAGCATGCTACAGTCTAAAGAAAACTAAACAGAATTACTAAAAACAAAGAGTATATCTTCAAAGAATATTTTAAGTGTCTGTGTAGACAAAAATATTAAACAAAAGAATGCACAACTTTATTTTGTGGGGACATGAAGGATGCTTGGCCATCTGTTGAAAATGTACGGCTGCCAAATATCACAGAGTCACACCTTGAGCCTGGAAATTGAGTTTACATGGCAAATCCATACATTTCTTGTGGTGTCTGCATGCCATTAGCCTTTCACTTACCTACTATTCAGTTTTACACTCTGCTGACTGCTAAGCTGGATTGCTTCACAGTTTTGAAATGAGCAGAGCCCAATATTGCAAAAGCAGTGACTGCTGCAGAGCTGCTGGCAGGACACCTGACTGTATGCTTGAAGGTTTTCAGAACTGAGGAACATAAGACAATCAGCATTTGGGAGATCAGGGCCCCCAGTCAAAGCCACTGTCATCAGGAAAAGGCCAGAAAAGTGAAAATTCTTCCATCTTTCATTCTGAAAAAGTAATTAAAAGGAAAATCCTTAAAGGCCGAACTTTTACAGGCCACCAACTCACACTATGAAAAAAACCTGAGACTTCCACAAATATCTGACTTAATCAAAACTCTGCCATACTTCTAATTCATATAAACCTCTTTCTTGTGTCTAAATAGTTGAGTGTATGGGATGAGCATTTCCCAATGCTCGTGGTTAACTGGGTCAGGTCCAAGGCAACAACAGTAAAACAAAATTTCAGGCAATGCCTTTGGAAATCTTGCAAATTCATCATCTTGCCACTATCTATAACAGAGACTTCTATGGTGATTTTGGCTAAACAGTTCATACACCATACAGTTGTTGAGCCAGACAGGAAAAAACTTCCAGCACCTACTAGCAACTGGCAAGATACAGACTGCATTTTCTTAAGTTCAGAAACCCATCTAAGATTAATGCTGGTTTTCATACAGTTTTATCAAAGTGATCCTTAAACTCTTCTATTATTTATTAGGTAGTTCACCAATTACCAAGTATCCACTCACAGATTTTTGTAATTGAAACTGCAGCATAAGTCCAGTGCCTGCACAGCTCAGAGCTTTGAGGTCCACACCTGGCCAGGACACAGCATATCATATGTATGTCTCTGACTGCAGCTTGGCATTGCTTTACCCCTCCACAAACAGGCTCATTAGCCCAGGCAGCACAGTCACCGTGCTGATCATGGGGGAAGCCTCATAGTTTAAGACAGAGCCAGGTCAAAAACAGCTGAAAAACACTCTTAACTTTTTACTTCTACTAAAATATTTGCTTGTAGAGATAGATGCCTTGTCAGCAAACCTAAGCTACCTAGCTCAAACATAAACAAGGTAGCATTGCTGAGCTGTGGTCACTGCTGTACAGACACACCTCATGTGACAAAAGCCACATCACTGTTTTTCCTTTACCTGATGTTTTGATACATTTTAAGGAGTGTTTTTCATTGGATGACTTACCTTCCTGCTTATGTCCAGGATGCTGAATTACATGCCTTTTTCTGTAGGTTTCAAGACAAACTGCAAACAGCATTTCACAGGGCTCAACTTTTCTTGTTCCGTCTTAGCTGCAAAATAGGGATAACCCTCACCTGTGCTTAAAACTTTATTTTCTAGGAACAGCCACACAGCAAAACCCACTGCCCTCCCTGCCTCTAAGGGGCATAGCATCCCTTAAAATTCTGGCATATGTTTAATCCCTTCCCCCTTTCAGTCTGCTGCCATTATTTAAAAATTGTTTCATCTTAATTTCTTCTGAAGTTGTTTTTTTTTGTTGTTGTTGTGGTTTTGACTTTTTTTTTTTTAATGTAGATTCCTGCTGGCATACCCACATATGGGGAAGTTCTTTGAAAAGTATCTGTTGTCAATACCACACCATTCATCAGCTCAAAAGCCAAATGGATTTCTCAGAACTCCTGCTTGTTTAGCCATCTTTCTCTGTAGTTCTCCCAGTGGGACAGAATGAAATTAAATATAAACTAGGCTTTAAATTATTTAGTCTGAGATAATTGAGTTTGGAAAGTCATACTGCAGAACGATCACCCGGGGAAGTAGCTAAACATGATTCGAGGCAGGGGTGGGGGCAGGAGGAGTGAGTCGACAAGTCTGGTCCAGTGGAAGATGTCCCTGTGCACGGCAGGGGACTTGGAACGCTACGGTCTTTAAGGTCACTTCCCACCCGAACCATCCTATAATTCTATGTCATATTAGGTACAGAAAAATCACAAATACTACTGGTTCCCACAGTAAAAGGCACAAGCTGCTCTTTCATTCTGGTCACACAGAAAATAATATCCTGCACGCTTAAGAATGGCATCCTTTCTCCTCAGAAGGAATCAGGCCCTTGGGGGACAGAAAGGCCTGGTGAGCAGATTACCCCATTTTTAGGGCGACTGCATTTTCCGAATAAAAGAACAAGCATAAGTTGGTTTCACATTATTAACTTCTTGTCATTCCGTAAGGACGTCCTGTAAGGGACAAAAGCTGACTAGGACAGAATGACTGTGTCAATCTCACCGCAGCTTTTCGCGTCAGAGTAATACGCACGGATTTCCTTGAGGAAAAAGGTATTTTCCGGTTCAGTTACACCTGCATCTGTCATAAAACTAGTCATTCACACTCACTTCAAGTAACAACACAGAATGTTCGCCCTTATTTCACTCTCCAGCCGTCATCGAGGACTATCATCGCCCCGGATTTACCCGGATAGAAGCGGAGCAGTTCTACAACAGCTACCTTTTCAGAAAGCCCATACCCTGCCCTCGCAGACTACGGGGACAGGGGGGGGACGGGAAAATTCCCTCTGACTGATGGGAAAAGACGAAAAGCAACGCCAGGACTGAGGGGAGACGCTCAGACCTGGCAGCTCCGGGCACAGGGACACCGCTGGGGGCGGCCCCAGCACTCCGGGCTGGGCGCCCACCGCGCCCTGGGTGCGCTCCACAACACCGTGTCCGGGGCGGAGGCACCGCTGCCCCCGCCTCAACTCTTGGAAAATTCCCGCTCCGCTCCCCGCCCCAAATCCGGGAGAGCTCCCGGCCTGCGCTTCCGCCGGCCCCGCCCATCATGGCGCTGGCCCGCGCCCCTGAGGCGGGGGCTCGGCTCCTTCAGCCGCGCCCGTGTTCACCGACCCCGCCCGGCCCGGCCGCGGGGCGCGGGGGACGGCGCAGGTACCGCACGCCGCGGGCGGGCACGGGAGAGCCCCGGGGCGGAGGAGGAGGAGGAGGAGGATGGGGCGGGAAGGCTGAGGGGCCGGTCCCGGATCGCGGGCCCGGCAGAGGCGCCGCCGGGATGGGGCTGGTTTCCCTGCCAGCTTTCTCTGGAATTGCCCGTGTCTGCCGTGACGACCGCCAGCTGTTCCTTCGTCGTACTGCCAGTGGAACTTTGCAGGCCAGCGCGCCCTCTTTTCATGTCTCCAGAGCGAGAATACACACAATGTGTCCGCATAGGAAGGCTGTATTGATTTCGGGTGATAAATCCGTTCCAAGCTGATCAAATTAATCAGAAAGTAATTAGCTCAGTTGGTTATAGCGTGGTACTAAGGTCACGATCCCCATACAGTCCATTCACTTAAGGGCTGGACTCGGTGATCCTTGTGGGTTCCTTCCAACTCAGAATATTCTGTGATTTTCTTTGTGTAGTTACACTGCTAACATTTACTGCTTTCTTCATTTCATTTATCAAACAACGCTCCAGGAATAGCTTCTGTCTTTAGTCATTTCTTTTCCATTTCCCATTATGAAAACTCCTTTGTGAGTGTCCAGTCCACTGAAACCCAGTTGCAAATGTGCCATTAAATTCTTGGACATTGGGATTTCAAAAATTAAGTTTACACATATATAACTTAATGAGTTTCTCTAGCAACTGGCTATTGCAATACTGTCCCACTTTTCCATTAATTTTAGCAATCCCAGAAAATAAGCATTAATTCAATTTAGGGATAGAAAAATTAAGTAGAGTTGGCTTATACTGCTAAATATTCATCCAAAACACAGTTTTAGATCTTGCACAGCAGTTCCAAATAGCAATACTATGTTAATGAAACCTTTAACATACCTGAACATTATCATGACAATTGAAATTAGAGTTCTTGGCTTCTCTGTTTTTAACTAATGTGGCCATGAACCAATACAATTTTATCTAATACATATAGGGCAGAAGCATAGTTACTTGCAATTATGGTCATGCTTTTTTTGAAAGATAAAACAGTGTTTTAGAATTATATCTTGGTGACCACTGAAGTAATCTTCGTGTCCAAGAGATTCCTGTGTTAGGACAGCTGAGACAATTTTAGGTAGATGGTGAAACTGTTTTTGAGGTACATATAGATTTTAATTCCTTTGCAGATGTAAGAATGTGTTGATGCTTAAAAATGGGATTATTAAATATGTATATATATATGTATTGGTTGTCTTGCACCTTCTATTTAGTATAGCAGATCACTGCCTCTCACACCCATGAGGTCTGTCCCAGTTCTACTCCCAAATCCTCCCCTCTTCCCACTTCGTCTGGTAATTTCCATGCCTACTTCTGCACCTGGCATAAAGACTCTGTACCAGGATGGACAGAAATGCCAGACTGGGGTGGAACAAAGACAGGTATTAGAGTGGTTGGAAGATCTGAAAAGGGAAGGCAGTGTCAGAAGAGAGGTAGCTGTGAGGATGGAAGGGAGGCAGTGTGGCTGTTTGGACAACATTTCAATCAGACATCACCACTGTGACAGACAGGCACAGGAGTTGAATACAAATCAGCAGATCACAGTCAATACTTTCTAATCTTGCTCAGGTAGTACCAAGTGAATATGTGGCTACAGACTTCATTTGGGAAGCAAAGTGAATGCCATATCAGTTTACTAGAACACAGCAGTAAAACTCCACCCATTAAAAATTAATGATTCCCTTAGAATGCCCTTTTAAATTTTTTTTCTTAAGTCTCATCTTGTAGGCCTATTACAAAATCATAAATATGGAATTTACTGTCTGCATCTTAACGTTTCATATTTGCTTTTCTGTACATTGCATTGTCTGAATGCATTTATTTCTTTACAGATTTTAAAGCATAAGTTTTAGTTTGACACATTTGAAATTTTTAGCTCTTAAGAACTAGGCAGATTACTGGCTTCCATCCAAATGTCTATTTAAATAAAAGATTGCAAATGAAGAATGGGCAATGAAAACCTGCTGTCTACTAGTAAGTCCTTACTCAGGGGGGTCATGTACAAAATACTGATAATCCAGTGTGTGCTCATTTAAACTTACAGCCATTCTCTTGGGACCTGCAGTGTCAGTATATAGCACCACTTGAGCTAAGCCTCAGAGATCATGGGGTAATCCTTAAGCTACCAGGTAATCAACAGTTGGACACTCAACTGGAATATATGACTAAGTCATAAAAATTTGGTGTCCCATGAACCAAAAGGTGCATTAGATTCCAGGAAATGGTGTCACTCCAGATAGGGCAAGAAGATTTCCTCTGGATAATTAAAAATATTTTTCCTAACATTTAATTTGACTGGAGTGTTAATGCATGAAGCTAAGATGGAGCAGTATCCTTCTGTCATGTTTATGGAAGGGAAGTATGGAACAAACCAGGAATGATAAAGTCTTCTTTCTCTCTACAGATAATGAAATAGTTTCCAGTTTGCCACTGCAGATGTCCCTCTATTTCAACGTTTATTTTTTCCCTTTCTGGTGGCTCTGCACAGTTGTCATACTCTATCTGAAGGTGAGTGTGAAGGAAAGTGTTGGTTTGCAAATGTATATTACATGAAACACCTAATAGGAGATACAGCTCCCTG